AATTATCCAGAGAAGTCTTTAAAATTGACCATTTTCTGTGACAAGTACACATCACATGATTTAACATGGTGAGGCAGCAGTGTGATTGAAACATACTTTTATCTCAGTCAGTAGCTGCTTCTTGATAATTGTCATGCACACAATATTTGTTTAAGAAAATAATAAAAGTTAATAAAATATTTAGCAAACAATGATCACACACATATTGGAATGACTGTGCAATGTGCAGTCAATGCACATGGGGATGCACATGTAGCAATGCAAAGTCTCTGACTGCACGTTGATCTTCCTTAAACAACCAAGGACAGGTACAAGTAACTTTCATTTGTCATCACAGTTAAAGCATTATGTATTTTTTCAACCAACTAAAATCCAATTTCTAAGTGCTGTGTGTTGTCTATTTACCTAGTTATCAATACAGAAACTTTGACAGAGTTAATCATCTCTAGCTATTAACACTGCTATCTAGCCTATAGATCAAAGCTACTTCTACCAGACAAGATCTCAAGTCTATACTCCAAAACTGCTTCTTCAGAACCAGATAACAAAAATGTACTTCTGAACCCGATATCTAGTCAATAGATTAAATTTTCTACTTCTGTACCTGATTCCAGCCTAAAGATAGAAACTTCTACTTCTGTACCAGATATCCAGCCTCTAGATAGAAACTTCTACTTCTGTACCAGATATCCAGCCTCTAGATAGAAATTTCTACTTCTGTACCAGATATCCAGCTTACAGATAAAAACTTCTACTTCTGTACCAGATATCCAGCCTACAGATAAAAACTTCTACTTCTGTACCAGATATCCAGCCTACAGATAAAAACTTCTACTTCTGTACCAGATATCCAGCCTACAGATAAAAACTTCTACTTCTGTACCTGATATCCAGCCTACAGATAGAAACTTCTACTTCTGTACCAGATATCCAGCCTAAAGATAGAAACTTCTACTTCTGTACCAGATATCCATCCTACAGATAGAAACTTCTACTTCTGTACCAGATATCCAGCCTACAGATAAAAACTTCTACTTCTGTACCTGATATCCAGCCTAAAGATAGAAACTTCTACTTCTGTACCAGATATCCAGCCTACAGATAGAAACTTCTACTTCTGTACCAGATATCCAGCCTACAGATAAAAACTTCTACTTCTGTACCTGATATCCAGCCTAAAGATAGAAACTTCTACTTCTGTACCAGATATCCAGCCTCCAGATAAAAACTTCTACTTCTGTACCAGATATCCAGCCTCCAGCTAGAAACTTCTACTTCTGTACATGATTACTAGTCAACAGATCAAAATTCTCCTGTACCAGATATCAAGTGGAAAGATCAAAACTGCTATTCCTGTCAGAAGATTAATTCTCATCTCCCTGGGATAACATCTGCTGTTTCTACATGTACTCTCCGGCTTTGCTTGCTCATGTGCATCAAATGCCATTTAATATTAAGTTTATATTATCTATGTTTTGTCTGTATACATGCATGAACTTACAAAACCATACAACAGAACAGACATTTATATAAGCATCAACAACATAAATATACTGATATTTTACTAGGACTGTAAGCGATGACCCTGCAGCGTGATAGTAATATTCAGGTACTATGGTGTAAAGCAATACAAAATTTTGCACCAGATCCACAAACAGGACTGTGTGCTGTCTCGTTTGGGAGTTCTGATATTGAAAAATCTATCATTACACATTCTAGAATCTACTCTTAATACCAAATGCAATCAAGCTAGAAATATGTATCTTCAGTATGTTTCAGATTTTCTTCTGTCAATGTGTGTATATAGCTAAGTATGGAGTGTATGGATTTTAGGCAATGTTTTCGTATGTGTAGCTGTAGTACAATGAATGTGATGATACATAGAAAACAGAGACAAAGTGCCTACTGAATAAGTAAACAAATATAATTTCTTAAAACACTTATTTTACAACAAATCAAAGAAAACTCTATGAAACGTTTTTTCTTTTTTCATATTGAAATGAAACTCATGAAAAAATGTATTCTTTTACATTTTAAACGTACGTTTTCATTCATATTTAAAGCTTTTCCTTTTCAAATAGAATTGATAAAATGGATATTTGTAATGAAATCTTTAAATATATATAGTAAAAAAATTGAACAAGAGTGACAACACATTGAAGATAAACTTAAAATAAAGGGACTTGCTATACATTATGATTTCCCTGCCACAAGGTAAAGTATAGTGAGACAGATTACGATAATATTACAGTGCTAGTCACTCAAAATACAACTATTTAGCAACCGAAGCAGTAACCCTACTGGTAATATCACAGCTCATGACCTCTCATATAAAATCAATGCCGAAGTTTTACATTATAATTCTTACAAATCTAATCACTGAACAAGAACATTCTTCATCATTTTTGAACGAAATTTGTGTAAATAAGTAGTGTCATCTTTACATGCGACTACAAGAAACTTTTCCAGTTTCTAATATTTAACCAAGATCAACAGATTAAATTCTGATATTCCCGATTTATAATGTACCATACACTTACAATAAAATACGGGAAAATTTTTATCAACAGTAGTTTGTTTAGAAATGATAATTTTTACGGATTATGTGAGCTTATAATTGATGTTCAGTAATAACAGAGAGTTGGTAAATCCTTACAAGCTGCTGGGTAAGGTAACAGCAGGAAGTCCCCTAATGTTATTACATTGTATACATATTTGAATTTTGGTCATTTTAATGTCAAAGCAAACTTTATTATGCTTGTCACAATAAGATGTTTTTTTTTATTATATGTAATGTTCATTTCTAAGACAAATAAAAATAAAAAAAAAAAAGTTTAGACAACAAAAATGAAAAAGAAAGAAAAAGAGAAAAAATCAAGAAAAAGAAAGTTTCTTAAATCGCATTATCTAATAACAGTACAACGTAAACCCTATAGCATCAAAAACTCTAACAGCAAGATTCGACCAAGCTGCATATAACAAAACAAAATAAAAATAGCAAAATACATCTTGCATATTGATATTGCATCTATGAGTTAGCTAAGATAAATCATAAAAACTAAAAGTACCATATTCCCTGAAGTTAGTGCCCCTGATTAGACTCAACGTTCCCTCGCTAGACCACACTGCTTGTTATAATAGTGATCTGACAACAAAATATATAAAATTACATGTAGGTAGGTATTTCTAAACCACTTACATTCAATCAAAATGATAGTTTAATGTCCCAGTAAAATCTCACAGTTACAAAATACTGGATAGAGCACTAGTACAATAGAATATGGTATGTGACTTAGTGTTTTGAACATTTGATATATATATTAAACTGGAATTTAACATAAACAAAATAAAATTAATTGTTACGATTAATAAACTAAAACATATTAAAAAAAAGTTTTATTTATAACACTGATCACGGCAAGATGTGATTTTTAAAAAGACGATGGATGACTAAAAACATTTGACTAAGAATTCCTTTCTTTGATTTGAGCCTTTCTGAGTTAAATTATTTAAAAAAAAAAAAACATGGTTGAATGATTAATCAATAAAATTACATCTGGCTACATATTGTGAATTTTAGAAGTGAAGGACTGGAGATTTATCTATGGATAAAAAATATAACATCTTATGTTCAGTAAAATATCTGTACACAAGTCATTGCATTTACCCGATATGAATACAATACATTTCCAGATTCTGGTGTAAACAACCTAGAACCATCACTACATTAATTGAGCTTGTCTCTACATTCCACAGAGTCCTTGTTATCTACATTCAGCAATAATTCAATTTGATATTAATTATTAAGAATGTTATGAAAAAGTGCTGTGCAGTCATAGCTCATAGAGTTTGTTCTAAATTTTCAATTAAAAATTAGATCTTAAGGGACTTTCTACATTTTAAACAAATCAATGCATATACAATGTATTGCACTTTTTGAGATCCTTCAGCCAGTGTTTAGATAATAGGATGAGTACTATTTTCAGGGGAGATAACTGGTCAAGGAATGAAATTCAGCAGGAAATAAAATAGTAACTGCAGATTTTTTAAATGAACAAATCAAAGCTGGTTTTCTTTTATTATCATTATTTTTTTTCCTCGTTTTTTTCCAAAAAGCATATTAGCTAGGCATTTGGTCATTTTGGTCAGTTCTGGAATCTCAATCAGGAAAAGTGCAACCATTCAAAATCAAAAGTCTAAAAAACATACATTTATATGTATATTTTTTGTGACAAATTCCTTCTGCTCGATTTATTGCTTTACTGAAATTATAATACACAATGCTCAACAAATTCAAAAAATATTTTTAGGCAATAAAACAAAGCTGACGATGCAGAAATTGTGTTGGGCTAGGAAACTGTAGCATGTTTGTGCTTTGTGGTCCCATGCCATTGCCCATCTGCTTATTCAAAAATAGCATGTCTCTTTTATGGTCTATAAGTACTTTACACCTACCTCTCCATCTAATACACTGGCTGCTCATCCAATTTCAAAATTAGTTACAATACTTTTTCATGAAAAATTTTAAGCAACTGCAAAACTATCTACATTATGCATACTGCAAAATAAAAAGCAAAGAAGTTTGCGACATGATAAGTATGTGGTAAAATGTTGATAATGTAGTACAGTGTATGATGTACGATAGTTACTATGGTCCGAACACCTTCCCATTCTATCACTTATATTGTAAAACAGTCATGTCTGTAAGATAAAATTGTTGAACGCACTAGGTATTACATAGTGAAAACAAAATCCCATAACAACAAAGTAATGATAGTAATAATATTATGTCTCTTATAAAACCTGTTACTCTCATGGGTAAGCACAATGTCTTGGATACATTAAATAAAAGTGTAGTCTTAAACGGCGATAATCTTGAAAAGGGAAAAAACTTACACTTAGTACGCAATGGAAAAAACGTCAAAGCCATCCCTATGATACAATAATAATAACAGATACATCAAAAGGAATCTGCCCAACATTATGGATGTAGTTGAGCGCTAGGACTCTGTGTGTCCATACTTGTGCTCTACCACAAAGTAGCACACCTCACTATCCACCATCTCTTCGTCCTCATCCATTTTGAGGTCCTGTGACTCATGACTCGCACTCATGTCCATAGGTGTATCCACTATCGTGTCACTGTGGATGATGTCCCTTGTAACCCTAATGGGTGGAGTCCGTACTGGCTCTGATGCTGGTGACTCACTACGACTATCTTCGGAAAAAACACTGTCCACATCAGACGACATAACATCAAGGGCAGCTCCTTCGGAAGATGCCTTCGTGACGGAATTCCCTGAACTTTTTGCAACAAGTCTTTCATGTTCGCGGGTGTATTGTGGGAATGAGGTTCCTGATTGACCATTACTGGATTTCTGGCCATTAACTGGTCCAAGGAACCAATCAGATCTCTGACGTAATCTTTCTAATTGTTTGCGCTTGACAGAGTTAAATCTACTTAAGGTTCCCTTAGGTGGTGGAGGTTCTGTGGAACTCCCTTCATTCAAATTATCTTCTAGTGACTTTGGTCTCTGCAAAACAAAAGAATAATAATGAGTACTGTTCTAATGCTTCTGGTTTTCAATTCCTAAACTTTTCAACTTGATCAAATTAACCAACCTGACAATGAGACTGTTTAAGGCTAATGAATATAAAAATAATTGATCTTCATATCAATATTAATACAATGAATACAAATCATAGGTTCTCATCTTACCAACTACAGATACCATAAGGTAGAGATTACATATAATCAGAATACCATTTCTTTTACCCCTTTCAGTGTCAATTATCTCTTACAATGTACAGCTCAGCGCCAAATATTTTCCGGAAAATATCCAAAAACAATGGCAGCATTACTGAAACAAGCATATCTTGGCTAATAAAAAAGATATTAACTTTGTCAACCAAAGTTTCCTACGACAGCCTGTCTGCATGTCGACTTTAGTCACCTATGGTACCAAAAGGGTTAACCAAATTAACTATAGACATCTACTTTACTAATCAGCAAATCAGAGATTTTCATTAGAAATATCAGAAGTCGGCTCATCCTTTTGATTTGTTTCCTTAGAAGTTGACATACCTTGCCTATGTTGCCAGGAGAGGGGGCTAATGACACTTCAGGTGCTGATATAGTAGAGGCGGCCATAAGGCGTGAGCAAGTAGAGTCGCCATCTTCGTCATCATTGCGTCGCGGCGACAGCAGATATTTGGGGTCCATCTGTGGCGAATGCTCTGGCGTATTACTGGGTTCATGTACACCCTCTCGCTGGGCATGCATCTCGTAAAAACCTTCTTCAGATATAGCTGGCAACAAAGACAATTACACTTGAAGTTTTCTGTCTCATCATTTGCCAACCAAACTGTGACAATATTCAAAGAATTTCTAAAATATTATTGATCATATTTTTCTTAAATTTTCTAATATTTCCACTATTGTTCATCAAAGACACATCATTTATTTTGATGAAACAGATGATGCAGTAACAAGGCTATATCAGGTTTTAGCATTTAGAACAGCATTCCACTATATGATTAGGCTTTGAAATATCACTTAACATTAAAAAGAGGATCACAACATTGGTATACATTATTGATATACACACAGGTTATACATTAATAGGGTAACTAGGGTAGGTACTGGGATAACAACATTAATACACAACAAGCATGCAAAACAAAAATGTCAGTAATCTTACATTGTGGTTTTGTTCTTAATTCTAAATTTTAACTCAAAATTGGTGTCTTTATTACTATACACTGTAGTTTCAGATCTGATTGAATCAATCATTTTAATGCTATCATTTTAAGCATTTAAATTCCAAGAAAATTTATCTTGATTCTGGACAATTTTTCTTTTTTCTTTTTTTTTTTTTTAATTTCTACTTTTGTTTCTAGACTTTGCTGATTGGTGCAATCCTTACCATGCTTTACTGGGTGGAAGGCTCGCAGGTGAGCCTCCTGGACCAGGAACAAGGAATACCATTGCACAGCCTGATCACCTGTGGGAACATGCACCAGACAGTCATGCAAACAACAAAAATGTGGGAGGACAGGATTACAGGAATACAGGGGTGTCAGGATTACAGAAATGTCAACTTACTCTAATAATGTGTGGAGGGTGGGGGATACAGGGATGTCACTCTACTATAATGTGTGGAGAGTGGGGGGATACAGGAATGTCACTCTACTATAATGTGTGGAGAGAATGGGATACAGGGATGTCACTCTACTATAATGTGTGGAGAGAATGGGATACAGGAATGTCACTCTACTATAACAATGTGTGGAGGGCAAGGAAACGGGGAATACTCTCTACTATAACAATATGTCAGGGTGGGGAATACAGGGATGCCCTTTTAATGTGACAATGTGGGGAGGGTGGGGGATACCAGGATGTCACTCTATTATAACTATGTGGGGAGGGTGGGGGATACCAGGATGTCACTCTATTATAACTATGAGGGGAGGGTGGGGGATACCAGGATGTCACTCTACTATAACTATGTGTGGAGGGTCGGGATACAGGGATGTCCTTTTAATGTGACAATGTGGGGAGGGTGGGGGATACCAGGATGTCACTCTATTATAACTATGTGGGGAGGGTGGGGGATACCAGGATGTCACTCTATTATAACTGTGGGGAGGGTGGGGGATACCAGGATGTCACTCTACTATAACTATGTGTGGAGGGTTGGGATACAGGGATGTCCTTTTAATGTGACAATGTGGGGAGGGTGGGGGATACCAGGATGTCACTCTATTACAACTATGTGGGGAGGGTGGGGGATACCTGGATGTCACTCTACTATAACTATGTGTGGAGGGTCGGGATACAGGGATGTCCTTTTAATGTGACAATGTGGGGAGGGTGGGGGATACCAGGATGTCACTCTACTATAACTATGTGGGGAGGGTGGGGGATACCAGGATGTCAGTCTACTATAACTATGTGTGGAGGGTCGGGATACAGGGATGTCCTTTTAATGTGACAATGTGGGGAGGGTGGGGGATACCAGGATATCACTCTACTATAACTATGTGGGGAGGGTGGGGGATACCAGGATGTCACTCTACTATAACTATGTGTGGAGGGTCGGGATACAGGGATGTCCTTTTAATGTGACAATGTGGGGAGGGTGGGGGATACCAGGATGTCACTCTATTATAACTGTGGGGAGGGTGGGGGATACCAGGATGTCACTCTACTATAACTATGTGTGGAGGGTCGGGATACAGGGATGTCCTTTTAATTTGACAATGTGGGGAGGGTGGGGGATACCAGGATGTCACTCTATTATAACTATGTGGGGAGGGTGGGGGATACCAGGATGTCACTCTACTATAACTATGTGTGAATATCATTAATACCTAACTTGAAAGGTATTTCAGATTTTCACAACTGAAATATACAGAAAAAAACACAAGTGAAATGTAACACTTTTAAAGAATTCCACCAATGAGAAAAACAGAAAATACAATTTGGTCAATACAAAAGCTGGATAGAATTGTTCGAATATATAACAATTGACAAACATATCTCACTCAAATTTCTAATGTTTTACTTGGGACAGGACATGAAGGCAAGGGGTGTGGTGGGTTTTACTTGGGATAGGAAGTGAGGGCAGGGATATGGGTGGGTTTTACTTAGGATAGGAAGTGAGGGCAGGTGTGTGTGTGTGTTTTACTTGGGAAAGGAAGTGAGGGCAGGGGTGTGTGTGTGTTTTACTTGGGAAAGGAAGTGAGGGCAGGGGTGTGTGTGTGTTTTACTTGGGAAAGGAAGTGCTGTGTGGGATTAAAAACAAGAATAACACTCCTGTTCACAAGCATGCACACAAAACTAGTATAAGAAAACTGGGAATTTTGGACATATAAGACAACAAAAATATTCCATTTAAATATACAAATGGATGAGCAAAGAATTAGAGAAATGGCTTTATACTGCAAGTGCACCTTTTACTCTCCTAGTATGTTTATGCAACTGTTTTACCCTTGGTTAATCACTGAAGAATTAAAATTTGGTTTCAACCTCAGCTGATAAAATTAGGATCACATATCTGTAGTACCAATTCTATACAGTTGTATCAACATAAACTTTACAAAGACATTCCTCTCTAAATGTGTCAATGATTGTATAGGTGTTAAAAACGGGGGTGGGGCAATAATAAAAACAAATCTGTTTAACTAAGGGGAGGTAATAGAAACAACGACTACAATACAGAGTAAAACTTGTTTACAACAATCTTCCAATAATAATAACAAAAAAGGAATTTAGATTTTATTTCACATATTTACTGATTGAATAAGATGATATATTGTTGAAAAAAAATATCACAAGTTTAAAATGATAAAAAAGTTTATACTGTAGTAGATGACATGGAAGATTGATAAACAGTTTTATCACAATAACAACTAACAAAATCAACAAGTTCAAAAAGGAAAACTACAATAAACATGCTTATTGAAACAAAAGAAATGAAAACTCAAAGCCAATTCATGATTTTACAGAAAATCTTCGTAAATATGAAGTTTTTCTATAATTACTTACCCCTGGAATTATTATCAATATAATATACAATGTCTAGATATACCAACACCGAATACATCCCGCCACCACCAAATATAAAGCCTTTTTTATTTTTTTTTCTAAATATTCTAAAATACTGTAAAACATAAAATGTTCATCAGTACGTTCTTTCATGGTATGAACCATCATCTCCAAGGTGAAAACTTAGATTGATACCCCTTAACTATACACATAGCTCATTCATTTTAAGTCTTATTTTGTTGCATTTGTAAAGCTAAGAAAATAAATAGGTTTTGCACAATGAACATTTCAAGTAGTACAGTATGTGCACATAAAATTATGCAAATAAACAAGTGAATATTTTTTTTTTTAATTTGCAATAAAAAGTTTAATAATACAAGCTGAAAAATGTTGTTTGAAAATTTTCTAGTACAAAACTTACGAGGTAGAATTTCCTCTGACAGGTATTGGAATTCATAGCGGAATTTTTCCCGTATATGAATCCCTGTGCGGGTAGTCTCTGCGAAATATTCTATATTTTCCTGACCAAACATACTGGCCACACCGAAGTTCTCAATGAGCAGTTGCATGATACGGCTTGCCTTCTCCACTTTGCCAGGGTCTGCCGCACAGGAATGAAACACGCTCCCAGCAACGCTGCGTGACAATGCCTCCGTTGTCATAAAGTTGACGTCACAGTTGTTAATCATAGTGAACCAGATACCAAACAGTAGGGACACAAGCTGCTGATGTGCCTGATGTAAGGAAGTGATGTACCTGTACACAAAGACATGTCCATGTTATTCAATAAAAGTGCCATTCCTCTTTAACATGGAAGCTGAGGCCACAAAAGGAGTGCCGTTTTGTTCATAGATAAATCATGAATATTCTGCCTTTAAATAATCACAAATCTGCCTGATTAATGATTTTCCTTTAACATTTCTGAATTTATATTTTCAGAGATCCAGTATAGTGCTGAAAAAAATAAACTTTTAATGTACAGGATTAACACCTTACATTATGAAGAATATATTAAATAAAGGGATCAGGACTTACAACAGCCAGCTAACTGAATGGAAAACTTACTCATGCACAGCCTCATACTGTTCCATTTTGTGACCCAGACTGAGAACACTTAACAGAGTTTCCTCTCCATTCTGGCCAAATATTCCATCAGGTAAGCGCAACAGGAACTTCTGTAACCACCAATAAAATACAATGTTACAAGTGAAGCATCCAATCAAATAAAAGTATACATCTAATCAAACAGAATTAGATCTCCAAATCAGGTATACACTATTATTTAAACCAACTTCAAATACAAGCATCTACAGGTGAAACATTGTTTTTATCTCAAACTGCAGGAATCTATCCTGGAAGACTTCATTTGAATAAATTCATGAGGTTTTCAAATATGAACAGATGTTGTACTCAACAAATCTACAAGTACATTTTAACACTTTCTTATGCAAACTCCTTTTGGCTGACATTGACACCTGTGACCTTGAATATGAAACAAAGTAATTTAAAAAAGAGAAACTTTGTATAACTCAATGCCAGATATTCATTGGTCAAGTATCATCATTATAATATTATTGGTTAATCAGAACACATTCAAGCATTTTCATAGGTATGATCCTCCTGACCTTGAACTAGGGTCAAGGCCATTTTCTTTGTTAACTTCGCACCCCTTTAACACTCTGACAAGAAATTTATATCATAACTCTAAGGATTATGTTTAACAAAATGGAGTCAACTGAATGTTTCAACATTTGAACTCTGTGACCTTTAATATGGGTGTAGATCATTTCCATTCCACTTGATTTGGCGTCACCCTACCTTGACAACAGATGCCAGTGTGTACATGTTGTAGTTCTGGTAGATGACAGGCTTGCCCTCTGTCATCCTCTTAACTATGTGACGAGTATCTGATGGATTGCCTGGACGTCGGAATAGATCAGCTGTACTCATGCCTTCATGGGCGATGTATATAAGTATTTCCTTCAAAAATAACAGACATGAATAAGTAGTCATTTATCAAAGAAGGGTATCATAATCAGATACTCAAATTCATCAGCTATCAAGTTTATACCAACAGGCTTTACAACAAACAGGAATCCCAAATACAAACTCATATATAAAATCAAACTGCTGAAACTAAATATTGATCCTACTATAAAGATTCATCATCAACATATTAAATGCAGTAATATGGGTCACAGAATTTTTGAGAGTCCTTATTTTTAGTTGCTAATGATACACTGTGGGACCAGAATGCTTCAATGTTCCTAGTGACCGTCCCTAGTCATGCCCTTCCTTTTTCTGATTCTCTATACATGCACCAACTGACATTAAGCCTTATTTGTCCATTAACATTGTTCATTAAAATTTAATTTGTTGAAGGAGAGAACCATGTCCTTGTCCAGTAGACATTCTGACTCCATTAAAATACTCTTACTAAACATCCACACACGCCACCCCACCCAGAGCACAGTAAATACACATGCTCCCAAGATACAACAGCTTATTTTCGTGATCAAATACCTGAAAGATGGAGTACTTCAAGTAAACAATTTTCTAAAAGTTTATTGATATTTACCTTTCTATAAAAATATTATCAATTAAAGCATATTTGTACAAAATTCTGAGCAACCCTTGATAATTATTGATAAACCCCAGTACAAATGTACATCACTTCCCCACCAGAATTTGTAACTATGTAAACCTGTTTGTAAGATCACACAAAAGATCTAGTACAAATGAAATACTTGTTGGATATTGCTACTTTTGGTGTTGAATCTTTTTTCTTGACATTCAGCTTTAACAGGTAACACAAAGACTGGTAAAGTCTGTAAAGTCTACACTGCTACTAAATTTTCTCTAAAATATGTTGGTGATGTAATAGGGTTGAATCATATAAGAAAACAAATTTTATCACAGGATCACTAAAATATGTGGGTAGTCATTTATTATAAAGATAGTATTAAGGTGGCAACTGAAAGGCTGGGCATTATATCAAGGTTTTAGAGCAAGTATATAGAAATATTTTTTCAGTTATTGTGAACTGATAAAATTGTGACAAATGCTTGGTGGGCCGCCACAATCATGCTTCTCTCTGTATATCTGTTGTAGCTTTAATGCTCGTTTCTGCGCTAAAACAACTGTCTAACCTGTTACTAGCCACAGAGTAAATTATTCATTTACAAACATTCTGTGAGTTCTTTAATTTGAAGAAATGGGCATTTTACTGTCTACATAGTATTTCCAACTTTGTTCATTTGTATAGCTTTATCCTACACTATAAAACAATGATTCAGCTAATCCTACATCCAACATGGTCGGGTCAATCAGTACTTTAAAGTCTATATGTACAGTGTCAATAGGTGCATGGACATATCAATGATGTTGGGAGTCTGTAGGAACTGGACAGTCCAAGTGTGTGACCACCTCAAAGTACATGAGTAGTTGTATGGTCTAGCAGTCAGAAGTAACAGATTAATAATGGTCTAGCAGTCAGAAGTAACAGATCAATGGTCTAGCAGTCAGAAGTAACAGATCAATGGTCTAGCAGTCAGAAGTAACAGATCAATGGTGTAGCAGTCAGAAGTAACAGATCAATGGTCTAGCAGTCAGAAGTAACAGATCAATGGTCTAGCAGTCAGAAGTAACAGATCAATGGTGTAGCAGTCAGAAGTAACAGATCAATGGTCTAGCAGTCAGAAGTAACAGATCAATGGTGTAGCAGTCAGAAGTAACAGATCAATGGTGTAGGAGTCAGAAGTAACAGATCAATGGTCTAGCAGTCAGAAGTAACAGATCAATGGTGTAGCAGTCAGAAGTAACAGATCAATGGTGTAGCAGTCAGAAGTAACAGATCAATGGTGTAGGATTCAGATGTAACAGATCAATGGTGTAGCAGTCAGAAGTAACAGATCAATGGTGTAGCAGTCAGAAGTAACAGATCAATGGTGTAGCAGTCAGAAGTAACAGATCAATGGTGTAGCAGTCAGAAGTAACAGATCAATGGTGTAGCAGTCAGACGTAACAGATCAATGGTGTAGGAGACAGAAGTAACAGATCAATGGTCTAGCAGTAAGAAGTAACAGATCAATGGTGTAGCAGTCAGAAGTAACAGATCAATGGTGTAGGAGACAGAAGTAACAGATCAATGGTGTAGGAGACAGAAGTAACAGATCAATGGTGTAGCAGTCAGAAGTAACAGATCAATGGTGTAGCAGTCAGACGTAACAGATCAATGGTGTAGGAGACAGAAGTAACAGATCAATGGTCTAGCAGTCAGAAGTAACAGATCAATGGTCTAGCAGTCAGAAGTAACAGATCAATGGTGTAGGATTCAGAAGTAACAGATCAATGGTGTAGGATTCAGAAGTAACAGATCAATGGTGTAGGATTCAGAAGTAACAGATCAATGGTGTAGCAGTCAGAAGTAACAGATTAATGGTCTAGCAGTCAGAAGATACCTGAAAAGATCAATGGTTTGGGAATCCATAGGTACATGGACAATCTGGTGGTGTGGAATTTCGCAGACACATGGGCAGATCAATGGTATGGGAGTCTGTACATACATGAACAGTTCAAAGGTGTGGAAATTTGAAGGTTCATGGGAAGTCCAATGGTGTGGGAGTTTGCTGGTCCATGGAAAGTCAAATGGTGTGGTAGTTCGCCAGTTCATGGCCAGTCCAATGGTGTGGAAGTCTAGGTACATGGCCAGTCCAATGGTGTGGAAGTCCAGGTACATGGCCAAACCAATGGTGTGGAAGTCTAGGTAAATGGCCAGTCCAATGGTGTGGAAGTCTAGGTACATGGCCAGTCCAATGGTGTGGAAGTCTAGGTACATGGCCAGTCCAATGGTGTAGAAGTCTAGGTACATGGCCAGTCCAATGGTGTGGAAATATGTTCCTCTATGGGATGTCCAATGATATAGAAGTCTTTAAGTTCATGGGCAGTCCATTGTTGTGGTAATCAGTATGTCTATAGGAAGTTTAATGGTGTGGGAGTCAGACAAAACATGGGCAGTCCATTGTTGTGGTAATCAGTATGTCTATGGGAAGTTCAATGGTGTGGGAGTCAGACAAAACATGGGCAGTCCATTGTTGTGGTAATCAGTATGTCTATGGGAAGATCAATGGTGTGGGAGTCAGACAAAACATGGGCAGTCCATTGTTGTGGTAATCAGTATGTCTATGAGAAGTTCAATGGTGTGGGAGTCAGACAAAACATGGGCAGTCCATTGTTGTGGTAATCAGTATGTCTATAGGAAGTTCAATGGTGTGGGAGTCAGACAAAACATGGGCAGTCCACTGGTGTGTGAAAGCCTAATGGTCTGTGAGTATTTAGGTACCTCAGTGTGGGAGTTTGTTGGTCTATGGGAAGTCCTATTCATGGACAGTTCAATTGTGTCTGTCTATACTTGACAGCCACTTGTACAGTCTAAACTTGTAATATGACACCCTTGTAACTGGCCACATTATTAAGTAATGTATCAATAGTGTGGTGCATGAGCAGTCGATCACCGAAAAGCACACGTCAGCATAAAATAATGCAGTGTCTTAAGATGTTTGATATACAGGAGCCAACATCAGAGAAGAGGATTGATAGTCATTTATTAAAAACTAGAATATGTCTGTTAGACATGAATGCCCTGTCCCTATGCCAACAAGAATCTGATCAGGTGTCAAGCTTATAAGTTATCATACCTAAAACCAAATCTGTTGAAAGGTTTTCTAATAATATGATGTGGGATACATTATCATATGCTCCCCACTGCCATTCAATATGGCCAGACGAAAGTACAAACTATCTGCCCCCCACCCCCCTAATTCAATGGTGGAAGTATAACAAGCTTTAAACAGATTAGACCCACATGTTGCCTTTGTCAATAATGACAAAAGCAACAATGAATTCAAGTCCTTAAGCTATATGATGACAATTGAAAATTATAGGTTCCTTAGCCTTCAAAGGTCTTACATCAAATTTGAGATTTGAGAGATGAACTCATGACTCAAACAACGCTGTTCTGAAGAAGAATTTTGGAGGAAGAAATTCTTAGCAGGATGTGTATGCAACCTAAGAAAATACAGGACAATCCGTGAAGTTTACATACCACCAAAGGAACTGGCAGGTATCCATTTTTGATGTTGTGGGAGAGTGGAGCTCCAAACTTGATCCTGAAAACAATAATGACAGAGTTTGGACAAGGCATAAACATAAATAATGTTAAGATTGCATTTTTTTTATGGTTTAAATCTTTGCAGTTTTATCAAACTCTGGACGTGAAAAAGATATGACAATTATTATTTTATTTGAAAGTTTGATCAACAAGTTGTTTTTTTTTCACTGAAAAATCTTAAGGAAATAATCAATTCAGTATCACATGTCTTATGTGTATAGTGACATATCTTTGATAAATAAAATAACCTGCCTTAATCAACCCCCGTTCCATCAACATTCCTGTGTTTCATGTATAATGACATATTTTTGCCTTAATCAGCCCTGTTCCATCAACATTCCTGTGTTTAATATGTATATTGACATGTCTTGACATCCACTATAACCTGCCTTAATCAGCCCCTGTCCCACCAACATCCCTGTGTTTTATGTATAATGACATATTTTTGCCTTAACCAGCCCCTGTCCCACTAACATCCCTGTGTTTTTTGTATCTGGACATAGTTTTGCCTTAATCAGCCCCTGTTCCACCAACATCCCTGTGTTTTATGTATAATGACATATTTTTGCCTTAACCAGCCCCTGTCCCACTAACATCCCTGTGTTTTTTGTATCTGGACATATTTTTGCCTTAATCAGCCCCTGTCCCACCAACATCCCTGTGTTTTTTGTATCAGGTCATATTTTTGCCTTAATTAGCCCCTGTTCCACCAACATCTCTGTGTTTTATGTATAATGACATATTTTTGCCTTAATCAGCAACTGTCCCACCAACATCCCTGTGTTTTATGTATAATGACATATTTTTGCCTTAATCAGCCCCTGTCCCACCAACATCCCTGTGTTTTATGTATAATGACATATTTTTGCCTTAATCAGCCCCTGTTCCACCAACATCCCTGTGTTTTATGTATAATGACATATTTTTGCCTTAATCAGCCCCTGTCCCACCAACATCCCTGTGTTTTATGTATAATGACATATTTTTGCCTTAATCAGCCCCTGTCCCACCAACATCCCTGTGTTTTATGTATAATGACATATTTTTGCCTTAATCAGCCCCTGTCCCACCAACATCCCTGTGTTTTATGTATAATGACATATTTTTGCCTTAATCAGCCCCTGTCCCACCAACATCCCTGTGTTTTATGTATAATGACATATTTTTGCCTGTGTTTTATGTATAATGACATATTTTTGCCTTAATCAGCCCCTGTCCCACCAACATCCCTGTGTTTTATGTATAATGACATATTTTTGCCTTAATCAGCCCCTGTCCCACCAACATCCCTGTGTTTTATGTATAATGACATATTTTTGCCTTAATCAGCCCCTGTCCCACCAACATCCCTGTGTTTTATGCCCCACCAACATCACGTCTATTACATAGCAATGATTACTTGTAAAACCTGCATTCTATTTCTATTCTTTGTCCAGATATTCTGTTGCCATGACTTTTTTCAGAAACAACTATCTCAGTCTGGCCAAATTTTACAAAGAATAAATGTGAAGTTCTGTTGTGTTCTGAGAAGTTCATGGCTAATTTAATTATGATCCCAGGTGGCTGAGGATAAATTGTAATATATTATGATGATCACAGTGTGACCAGGGTTTTATTGTCTGCTGAAGATTTACAGCAGAAACAATGTATTCAATGTTTCAAATCATCATGATTTATTTTCCACAAATAAATCTATATTTTAAATTTCAAGATCTACAAACTGGACACCTCTCTTACCTGGCCAAATATTTCAGTCTGGTTATTTCAAATTTAGTGTAGTTATACTATATATCTCTGTGTTAAACAGTGAACATTTGCCCCAAGGTCATATTTTATCATTTTTCCCCCCCAATATGACAATATTTTTCACTTACTTTTGGTTGCGCATGGACTCAGAGCTTCTGTCAGATACACAGCCTCCAAAAACGTTTCTCAACATGGCCATGTTACTGTGACATGATTGTTGCCATGGTTACTTGAACAGGCCAGCAACCCCCATCCAGGACTGTAGCCTCACATGTCACCCCAAAATTGAGGTCAAAGTCATTCAGGTCATGGACTCTCTTGTCATGGCAACATTGCCAATTCCTGTTGAATCAGAGACCTGTAAAATACATGAAGAAAAATGTTTTGTTAGAATTCAATAAACTAGTTAAATAAGTTCAGGATCAAAGCAAATATGGTCAGCATTTATCACCACTTAATACTATATACATCCACCTGGTTGTTTTTAGAGCCTCTCCATGTATGTCTTCCTGTAAATCTACATCTCTTGGAATCGTTTTAATGAATGGACAGACAGGCAGATTGCATAAGTCGCAATTTTTCAGGATTATTGCAAGAGACAGATCTGCATACCACATACACATACACACATACACACACAAATACATCTACGTTACGTTTTTACTACAAAGACTGCATACGTGAAGGTGTGACCTTTGAACTTTGGGATGCCTCCAAAGTGCCATGTTTATGTAGACCTTTGACCTGCCCTTTAATGGTTCTGTGGCACTGTCAAAAGGCGCCCCTGCATTATTACATATATACCTAAGGTTTATTTCCTGGTCTATACTATGTAGTTGTTGGTGATGAGAAACTCCCTCCCTATCTACCGGGAGGAGGCTGCTCTACAACATTGTGTTTCTCATGCATGGTAGGAAATCTGTGTATTACAGAGAATAGTTTAGCTTGCTATTCTTGGTAGCTGCTGAAGGGACTCCTGGGGAGAAAGGGGGACAGCTGTTTTCTATTCTCAGCCCACAACATATGCATAAAGAAATGGTAATTAAAATGGGGCAGCATATTTTCTTTTTTGTCTATATACCTTTACTATGTACATACCATAATAATGTCCATGCATTCTTTCTCACATTTACACTGACACTAACTCTCCACAGATAATAATCTGCAACAATAGACACAAATTGATTACTTCCTTCACTAGGTGTTTAAAGCAAGTTTTCATTCAGTTAATTAGTATAACCTCTTTCTAGGAAAACTCAAATTGTGGTAATTATATACAGACATCTATTTGGTATTATAAATGTTTTCATTAAGTTGATTGAAGCTGACAGATCCATCTAGGTTTAAATTCAACTAATGCTGTAGTCACTTTCAATTTAACCTCAAACCCATCAAGGAATGTACAAAATGCAGGTAGTAGTACACCTGTCATAGCATGACACAACAATCATGTATCTGGTCAGTTTTGCCATCCAGTGGAACAGCTAAAGGAATCTGACCAGTGGCATGTTGAGCTGTTGGAGGATTAAGGACTACTGCTGCTGGGAAAGTATGCCAAATGTTAGTCATTTACCCAACTGCCTGGATGGAAGATATTCTTGTTTTACATTCTTATAACACAAGCTTGGTTAGTTTACCACTAGATAGTAAATGGTCTGTCTAAGTCAGTGTCTGGGAGAGAGATATAACACAAGCTTGGTTAGTTTACCACTAGATAGTAGATGGTCTGTCTAAGTCAGTGTCTGGGAGAGAGATATAACACAAGCTTGGTTAGTTTACCACTAGATAGTAAATGGTCTAAGTCAGTGTCTGGGAGAGAGATATAACACAAGCTTAGTTAGTTTACCACTAGATAGTAAATGGTCTTAGTCAGTGTCTGGGAGAGAGATATAACACAAGCTTGGTTAGTTTACCACTAGATAGTAGATGGTCTGTCTAAGTCAGTGTCTGGGAGAGAGATATAACACAAGCTTGGTTAGTTTACTACTAGATAATAGATGGTCTAAGTCAGTGTCTGGGAGAGAGATATAACACAAGCTTGGTTAGTTTACCACCAGATGGTAGATGGTCTGTCTAAGTCAGTGTCTGGGAGAGAGATATAACACAAGCTTGCTTAGTTTACCACCAGATGGTAGATGGTCTGTCTAAGTCAGTGTCTGGGAGAGAGATATAAGACAAGCTTGGTTAATTTACCACTAGATAGTAAATGGTCTTAGTCAGTGTCTGGGAGAGAGATATAACACAAGCTTGGTTAATTTACCACTAGATAGTAGATGGTCTGTCTAAGTCAGTGTCTGGGAGAGAGATATAACACAAGCTTGGTTGGTTTACCACTAGATAGTAAATGGTCTAAGTCAGTGTCTGGGAGAGAGATATAAAACAAGCTTGGTTAGTTTACCACTAGATAGTAAATGGTCTTAGTCAGTGTCTGGGAGAGAGATATAACACAAGCTTGGTTAATTTACCACTAGATAGTAGATGGTCTGTCTAAGTCAGTGGGAAAGAGTAACACAAGCTTGGTTAGTTTACCACTAGATAGTAAAGAGATGTCTGGGAGAGAGATAACACAAGCTTGGTTAGTTTACCACTAGATAGTAGATGGTATGTCTAAGTCAGTGTCTGGGAGAGAGATATAACACAAGCTTGGTTAGTTTACCACTAGATAGTAGATGGTATGTCTAAGTCAGTGTCTGGGAGAGAGATATAACACAAGCTTGGTTAGTTTACCACTAGATAGTAGATGGTATGTCTAAGTCAGTGTCTGGGAGAGAGATATAACACAAGCTTGGTTAGTTTACCACTAGATAGTAGATGGTATGTCTAAGTCAGTGTCTGGGAGAGAGATATAACACAAGCTTGGTTAATTTACCACTAGATGGTAGATAGTCTGTGTAAGTGTCTAAGGAGATATATAACACAAGCTTGGTTACTTTACCACTAGATGGTAGATGGTCTGTGTAAGTGTCTCAGGAGATACATAACACAAGCTTGGTTACTTTACCACTAGATGATAGATGGTCTGTGTAAGTGTCTCAGGAGATATATAACACAAGCTTGGTTACTTTACCACTAGATGGTAGATGGACTGTGTAAGTGTCTAAGGAGATACATAACACAAAAACATGGTTACTTTACCATTAGTCTGTTAAAAGGTCTGCTAATTCAGCGCCCTGCATTATTCATTTACACAAATTTACATAGACATGTTGCAATTAGTGAATCATATTGAAAAAAAATAAAAATAGAAATAATTTCTGAAGTCATAATTCACCCATTTATAAACAAATTATTCTTAATGTTGTAAGGAAATATATCCTGTCAAGGACGGTAATTGAAATAAATAAAAAATTAATAAATAAATAAATAAATAGATAAATAAATGTAGATAGGTGGGTGACTGGTGAGATTTGTATTGAACATTACACATTATACAACTGGCGAGATTAGGACTGAACTTCACACTATATAACTGTTGAGATTTGGACTGAACTCCACACTATATAACTGTTGAGATTTGGACTGAACTCCACACTATATAACTGTTGAGATTTGGACTGAACTTCACACTATATAACTGTTGAGATTTGGACTGAACTTCACACTATACAATTGGTGAGATTTGGCTAATTTGTGGAAGTTTGTAAGTATTACCCCAGTAATGAAACTCATCATGTCAGCTTTCCTGGTTACAGACATAGCACTTAATTACCTACCATTTATAAATAGAGCAGCACACCTTTTTTCCTCATCAACCACACCCTCTAGCTCATGGTCAATGTTTTTCAACAATGTACAGAAAGCTATACTGATGATACTTAAACTGGAGTATGTTTGTAAGATATGAACCCAAAGTATCACAACAAATATCATAGTTAACCGTTATGTAAAGTTTGGATGAAATCTGTCAAGAAGTGAAGCTGCTACAGTGAAAACGGTGATTCAGGACAGAACACAACAGGCATTTGTATCACATATTTCTAACCCTAATCAAACACATGCTTTATCTCCCTTGAATAAAAATGATTTTCTTTTAATTGTTAAAAAGTCTTTTTAATGTTTTTAAATAAAAAATATTCAACTATTAACACAAATTGTCTTCTAGATTTTTCAATGTGTGTTTTTTTTTTGTTTTTTGTTATGATGCCAATTATCATATTCACACACAATAGAATAGAAGCAAGGGAAGGATTGTAATTATATGCCTCACTTGATCAATGTTTAAATTGTCAGATTTGTAGGGGATTATGGGTAGGATATAGAACAGCTTCAATGTCTCTAGGGAATGAAACAAGATAGAGTTGAGTCTCTGTTAAATAAATCTACAGATTTAGTTATATACCAGGATCATTCCTAATTATAGTTGTATAACAAGAAGTTTATATCTAAAAGCAGAAACACTTCTGACAAATCCTTCAGTTATATAGAGTAAACTTACTTTCAGGATCAAATACCTTGCATATTTCTAAATATATGTATCTAATAACATATACATGTACATATTCATCCAACAAATGAAACATACCCTAGATTAGGTGTATCATTCCTTTGATGACTCTTGAAACTTTTGTTTTAAATTATTACAAGTATATCTCAGCACTGTCTCCAGTAGGGGGTCAAAGTCTGGTTGGAGTGTCATCTACCTAAGTGTGTACTATGTAGTGTTGGGGAATGTAAGTGTCTATTGACCTCAATTATCATACCAGGGGGTGATTACAGCTCTAATTGTAACATGATCTACAAGCTTCTGGTCCACTTAGCAATATAGCAACACATAAAATCTCCAAACATCTGTCACCAATTGCAGGATTTTGTACAGTGAAACAAAAACACTGAGTTGTCACAGTTATGGATGAAATCTGAAATAATGTACAGAACTAAAACCTACGTCTATATCTCTACTACTGTTGCCTTGAAAAGACTTTGTTATGACATATGGTATATAGATGACACTAAAACACAAATAATATCACACTTAATATTGTAATGACATCATGTCTAGATGACACTCAAATACACATGTAGATGAAACACAAACATACATGACATCAGACTTCATAAGGTAAAGTCATATTATGTAGATAACACTTAACACACATGACATCAGACTTTACATGGTAATGATATCTTTTGTAGATGAAACACAATCATACATGACATCAGACTTTATAAGGTAAAGTCATATTATGTAGATAACACTTAACATACATGATATCAGACTTAATAAGGTAGTTTTAACAGAA